CGGGGCCGCGGCGCGGCGCGGGCTGGGGAATCCCTCCCAGGCTCTGACGTCACTCCGGCGCCGGCCAATGAGGAGCCACGGAGGAGGATTCCCGCTCTAACCGCCGCTCAGCTGGCCTTTTAAACGCTACCCTGGGGAACGCTCTCCGGGAGCGCTGGGAGGAGGTGGGGAGTGGGGCGCGGGGGCGAAGTGGGGAAGTCCTGCGGGACCAGTCTCCAGGGGTTTGACGGTCCCGCGTCGGGAGTGGCTGAGGCCTGCGGGGGCAAGCAGAGGCCGGCGGGGAACAGACTCCAGGCGGGCAGTCAGCCCGAGATGGAGTGGAAGCTGGAGCGCGCCGCCCCGCGGAGGGTCCGCACCGAGGAGCAGATGCTGTGGGTGAGTCAGCCCCTTTCTTTCTTCGCCCCGACTCCTTCTAGGGGCTTCTCGAGGGAGGCGCCGTTTGTAACATCTGTTTAGGGCCGACAGGCAGTGCAGAACGCGACACCCTGGTTTTAATTTTGAGTTGTGTTATTATATCCTGGAGATGCCTAGTTACTTAGAAAAAGTGAATGTGGTCGGACAAGCTCAGGATCTAGAACAATTTTCCACCTATCACTATGCTGTTAGTAAATAGTCTCTCTCTCAATGTGTTATGCATGTTTCCAAAGGAGAATGTCATGCGGGTACTCGCCAAAGACATGAAGCAGAAGAGAGGTCAAGGCTCCCCCACGGTGAGTGTCCAGCGCTTGTCTTCCTTTTGTATCTTAATTCTACCTAATCTCGAACAAACCCGTTTTTGCTAAAGGTGTTCGCAGGAGGTATGAGCTGGTTTGAAAATATGAGAATTAAAGTCTATTTCTATTATTAAGTACATTTTCTACACAATTAAATACTTAAAAAAAAAGAGAGAGAGAGAAAACTGAAGATCCCTGACAAATAATGTGATCATTTGTATCTGCATGGTGTGCTGGAGTTTTGCCTCAACAACGAAGGCCAAAGCTTGGATGTGTCAGGTTGGCAGTGCAATGCTAGCTGGCTGTTGTAATTCCATTTTAACAGTTGCTAGTTACACTGCCCTCTGTTGCATTCAGAAGCGCGCTCCCTAAAGAAATGGAAATAGAGCCATCTTGTGGACAGACGATGAAGAGACATGGCTTGACCAGGGGCTCTTAGGTTGGCAACTTAAAAGTCCATCTAACATCAAAGTTGACCCACTTTTTCTCCTTGAAAGAAAGAACCTGGGGGCCAGCAGGTGGTGTAGTGGTTAAGGTGCTGGATTCCCTTACGGTTACCCACGGTTCGAGTCTCAGACCTGGCAGCTTGCTTTCTCACTTTTTCTCTCTCCCTCTCTGTCTCTCTCTGGTCAAAATAAAAATAATACTAATAAACCAAATAATTCTTTAAAAAAAAAAGAAAAAAAGGAGTGAACCTGAAGGTCTTTAGTTTCTCTTGCAATCCAATAAAACAAATTTAAATGATTTTTTTCTTATTTTTTTCTACATAAACAACGTTCAAAAGCTTGAAGTCTTTCAGTATCACCCTTACTATGCTCTTCTTAGGCTAAACAGCTCACCTTACTTCATTTAACCTCTTCTCATAGATCATAGTTTCAAATTCATCACCATTTTAATGGGTTTTTCTAGATCTTCTACAGGTTTTCCTATATTCCAGTGGCAACACCCTACACTGAGCTTATGTAACTTGCACTTTCCAAAAGTGATCAGTAATGTCATTCATAATAGAGGAAAACAAGTGACCGTTAAGGCATAACTTGCTTATGTACTTTAATATGGATTCCCCCCCCCCATACATTGCTGCAGTTTTGCTTCATCCAGGTTATGTAGCTGATCTTTTGATAGTATGCCTTCATTCAAGATTTTCATTTGGAAAAGCTAAGTGTAAATATCATGAAATTTTTTAAAAAATTATTTTATTTAACTTTATTTTTATTATTATTATTATTTTCCAGTTTGATCAGAGAGACAGAGAAAGAGAGAGAAGGAATGTGAGAAAGCAAGCTACCAGGTCTGGGACTTGAACCACGGTCGAACTTATGAAAGTCCAGTGCCTTTAACAACCATGCCACCTGCTGGCCCCCTGAAAGCTTTTTATTTTTAAAGTTTTCTTTTTTTTCAACTTTTATGTTTTTGACTAGATTAAAACAATTATTAATTTTATTTCTCCTAATAGTTTTAGAGAATAAGTTTTCTCTGTAACTTTTCTCTAATGTGTCTGTTAAGGTGGAAGTTCTGCCACTGTGTTTCTCATTACAAATGTAACCTCAGTGACTTCTCTGGCCATGAGAAGCAGCAGTGACCTGAATCAGGTAGGCAGTGTGTTGTTAGCTGGCTGCTTTGGGTCCAGTCAGCAGCCACGACTACTCTGCCACTTGCTTCTGGGTGAATTCTTCTGTTAGTGAAGTGCGTTGGTTACCTGTGTGTGATAGGTTGGCAGTGTATTGTTAGCTGGTTGAATATGTGAATGGCATCAGCTAACATGCATCTGCTACCTTATTGCATATACAATGAACATCAGAGTGGGGTTAAATCTGTAATTAATGTGTATACCTTTTGCTGTGAGGTAGGGTACTATTTGCTGTAAGTTAGTATTACTATCCTGTTACTCAATTATGAAACAATTTGCAGCTTTATGTTAGTAAAGAATAATTATTTAAGACTTTTCAAGTAATTGTTGAGTCTTGTGCAGACAGTAGTAAAGTATTTATGAAACTATATATTTGTTTTTTAAATGTAAGAGAATATAATGACAACTTGAATGGAAATCCTCAATTGTTTCCCTAAATTTTTGACTGAGTCTTTCATATTCTTTCTGGGCTCGCAGTTTTTAAATATAGCATTAGAGTAGGCCTCTATAACCATGACAGCTGAAGAGAAAATTGAGGTAATTTTCTAGGTGAGTCAGTCAACTAAAACATTTTCATTTTTAAAAAAATCAAGAAATGTGTTTTTTTTGGGGGGGGGGTTGGGTTGAATTGTTTGGAAGATTTGCTTCAAATTCATCATTTTCTGTGAAACTGCAGGTTCATAAAATAAAAGGTTGGGAGCAGAACATGAGATCTAGTTTGTGACATGGGGAGAACTGACCATACAATATGATTTTAAATCTTTTCTCATTCCCTTGGAGGCCGTTTTGATCACGGAGCAGTGTCAGACATACTCTGGGTTCTGACAAATAAATGTATCGTGGGAACATTTGGAGTAAGTTAGTGGGAATGACTGTGGTGGTCTGCTCAGTTAGTTACACCGTAAAAGAGATGTGAGAAATTTATCATACTCTCTACTGTATTGGACTATAAGTTATTGATAACATATTTTTTATGCTTACCTTATTTAAACATACTTCTAGAACGCTGGTTAAACATTTACCTGTAATTCGAGTCTTTTACATTTTCTTTCCAATATCCTCTTTTTTTTTTTTTTTTTCGCCCAATACGATTGCATTTTCAGGGTCTTTGTGTTTCAGTATCCTTTCCTTGCAAACATTGTTTTCACCTTGCATTTCTTTCATGGTTAAGCCTCAACATTTATTTCTTACAGAGGTTCATTAACCTGTGGATAAAAATAAAATCTACAGAATTTAGAAGGCTTGGCCTTTGTGTTTTATTTTTTTCAAATTAAAGTGTAAGACATAAAATGCCAACATTAATTCTCAATAAACAGGATAAAAAATTAAAGCTCTTCTTTAGTTCTATATTATGAGCATGAGAAAGGAGGGAAGGAATGAGATGAAGTAAAAATTAAAAGGGCCCAGCCTCTGTGGCAAAGTTGGTAGCTGTTAGACATTGGAGCTTGAAGCCTCATGTTGACCATGGTTTGAGTTCCCTGCTTGGCCAGCCTGAAAACAGATCAACTGCAGGGCCCTGGTGGGCTGGAGGACTGGAGGAAGGGACTTGTGACATGATGGAGTCCTGTGGAGGTGCTTCTCTCTCTCTCCCTCCCTCTCACTCATACATGCACATGAGCTTTTATTCCGAATAAATAGTTTCAAAAAAGATTTTTAAAAGTTCTAAAAACCAGAGTGAACACCTCCTCTCCTCCCCACAAGGTAAAGAGATCAATGAGTAGGAAAATAAAGTAGAAGAAATGAAGCGGAAAAGAGAGGGATATACACTGAGAAGCCAAGGGACAAACTGAGGGGAAAGAGATGAAAAAAAGAGGAGGAGGGAGGCTCTACTGGTTGTACCCCCCCACCCCCGTGTTCCCTCTCGGCGCAGCCTGGGCTGTTGACTGAGGCTGAGATGTAACCTTTTGGCCACCGCTGCCTCTGAACGGCCCCACCACATCTCTACTTGCTCTCTGCTCTTTATTCCCCCCAGAAGAGAATGCGTGACTCCACAAGGTGTGGCCTTAACATTCAGGCAGAAGGGGAAGGGGAGAGTAGGAAGCAGTGTGGTGGACTGGCTTCCAGGCATAGCAGTTACTGGCATTTATTACTGCATGGGTAAGATGAAATCTAGTTGAGGACTGAATACATGAGCCCATGTCAGCTCACTCCCCCCACACACGTCATTCTCATTTCAAAGGCACACCATGGAGTAACATGATAATTTGTATAGGAAGCGCGCAAGGCTTCAGCTAATGCAAGTCAGTCTTTTGAAGCCCAGTTAATGTTTTTAAAGAAGATACAGAGAAATAAATGTTTTGTTTTTCTTCTTGGGTTTTGTCTTCCTTTCCTTCCTTTCTTTTACTGGAGTATTTTCTTACTTTAGATTATTTCAGACTATCCAGTTAGATCATTAGATTTTTTTATTTTAAGAGGTATTTTGCCTTACCGCACGTGTGCTCACTAGAGAGAGACAGAGACAAAGACAGAGGGAAAGTGAGAAATCACCTCGCTACCACTATCCAGGGAGGATGGCCACTCTGAAATCCCTTGTCCTCCATTCTCCTCCTGGGATCTCGGGCACACATGTAAGTACCTGGCATGATTTTAAAGCCACCTGGTCCAGGACTTGAACCACTCAGTCATGTGGGAGTCCAGTGAAGTTACTGCTATGTCGTCTACTGGCCCTAGATCATTAGATTTTTTTTTTTTTTTGGAGAGGTTTTCGCTATGGGGCGCCTGCGCTCGCCAGACAGACAGAGACATAGAGACAGAAAGCGAGAAATCACCCCCCAGGGGGGATGGTCATGCCACAATCCCTTCTCCTCCATTCTCCTCTACGGATCTTGGGCACGCACGCACACATGGCTGGCGTGAGTTTTAAGCCACCGGGTCCGGGATGCGAACCGCAGTCGACAACGGGGGAGTCCAGCGACATAGCCATTACACTAACTGCTGGTTCCCTAGATCATTAGATTTTTAAAGAAGTTTCTTTCCTCCATGAGACAGGAGAGAGAGAGAGAGAAACAGCATCTCACCATACCATCATCTACCCCCAGCCTTCCAGTCAGCCAGGTTCATGGGTGTCCCTGCGGATGCACCAGGCATGTTCAGGTTGACCTGGGATCCAAACCTGGGTCCTCCCATATGGCTCCAGTATTGCAAAGCAGTCCCCTACTGCTTGTGCCACCCTGGCTGGGTCTAGGTCATTAAATTTTAGTGTGATCAGGCAGTACAGTGTTAGCAGCTTTTCTTTATTCAGAAACTGCATATACATCCACATTTTTACATAATCTGCTAAAATAGTACATAATGAAAATAAAGAGAATATATGATAGGTTTTTACTCTAGATTGTTCTCTTCAGAGAGCCTATGATGCCTTGACCAAGTCTAATTTTTAAGATGTTTGATGTGCTGGAGCCAGCTTGTATGGGTTTCTGAGAACACTTGTTAAATTTTTAGAAATTAAACCATTGGTATTAAAATTGGCCATGTGGGAGAATTTATATCACTGAGGTAGGCAGATGCTGCAAATCAGGATTCCTCATCCAGAAAGCCTGTTGTTAAACGTTCATCAATCAACACTTTAATATACTATGTATGTTAAAATGATTAAGAATTATGTATTTGGGGGCTGGCAGGTGGTGTGGTGGTTAAGGATACTGGATTCCCACATGATCAACCATGGTTCGAGTCCTAGACCTGGCATCTTGCTTTCTAACTTTCTTTCTCTCTCTCCTTCCTTCTCTCTCCCTCCCTCTCTCTCCCTTTCTCTTTGCCCTTCTCTGGTCAAATTAACATAAGTAAAATGAATAAATAAAGTTAAATACAGTAATTAAAAAAGAATGATGTATATGTACATGTTTTAGTCCCTTTTGTGCTTATTTAACAGAATTTCATAGACCAGGAAATTTATAATGCGAAAAAATGATTAGTTCATGGTTCTGGCATCTGGGAAGTCTCAGATGTAGAGGCTGGCCTCTGGTGAGGCCCTTTTGGCTGTATCATCCCATGATGGAAGGGCAAAGAGAGAGGAAGAGAAGGCCAGACTTGCTTTTGTATCAAATCCGTTCTCAAGATAATGAGCCCAGGGACCAGCAGATAGCATAATGGCTATGTCACTGAACTCCAAAGTAGTTGACTATGGTTCGAGTCCTGGACCCAGTGGCTTAAACTTAGGCTGGGCATATGTGCATGCATGCCCAAGATCCCGAGAGGAGAATGGAGGAGAAGGGATTGCGGCGTGGCCATCACCCCCAAGGGGTGATTTCTTGTTTTCTATCTCTCTGTCTCTCTAGCGAGCGCATGCACCCTATAGCAAAAACCTCTTTAAAAAAAAAAAAAAAAGATAATGAGTCCACATCTGCAACAGTGACAGTGACAGTAGTCCATTAGGGCTTTCTTCTGGTTCAGTTCCCACCTCTACACTGTTGTTTTGGGGATTAAGTTTCCAACACATGAACTCTGGGGGACACGCAAACTGCAGCAGCACATGGATACATGCTATACGATATGCACTATCATTATTAAACATTTTCAAAAGTGAAATAACTTCAGAATATATTTCAGAAAAATTCATATTTATTTCCATTCCCAACACTCTGTTGTTACATGTATCATGAAATGATGATTAGAAGTTAGTACGAAGTATTCCTTTTCCACTCCCAAACAAAACAAACCAAAACAAACTTCAAGTCAACAAACTGTTTATATTTACCACAATTAAAATGCATTTTATGGGCCAGCAGGTGGCATGGTGGTTAAGGCACTGGATTCCCACATGGCTGACTATGGTTTGAGTCCTGGACCTGGTGGCTTGAGTGCACATGCCCTATAGCAAATGGAAAATAATAATAAATAAAATTAAATAAATCATTCCTTGAAGAAATGCATTTTTTTCGGCCCTTTCCATTGTCATGAGGACAAAAGCTGAATACCCTTTTATTTGATGCCTTATATTTTTCAGTTATATTCTGTAGTTTCGGCATCCTGTAGCAGTGTATGTCCCAGAGTTTCTGAGGCCGAGACAAGATTCAGAAAGGACTTGTCAACTCCAAAATATGTCACTTTTTCTCAGTGTGAGTTTGGTGGTGTTCACGTGAGACATTTGAGTTACGGGGTTCGGCAGATGGCAACTGGCTCCACTCCCTCAGCACACAGCTTAGTTGTTGTGGATGGACATGCATTTCTCTGGAGGCAATACATAAGACACACTTCCATATCCCCACTCACCTGCTCTGCTTATGAAAGGGCAAGGGGGAGAGAATCAAACACTGACAATAGTAGAAACTCAGGTTGAATAAGGATACCAGAATGAGGTATATAAGCAAAGAAACTTTATTAGGCTTTGGAGAGAACTACTAACTTAAGGCAGGATGGACATCTGAATGGCATGCACGGGGGCAACCTGGTCCACCCTCATTGCAGCTCTGTCACCACCCTGGCAGTGGAGAGTCATGTTGGCTTGTGTGGTATTGGCATATGCAGTTCTGCTCAAACTCCTACTGTGAGCACATAAAAACACCCCAGTAGGGGACAAGCAGATTACATCATGATTATGTCACTGGGCTCCCATATAGTTGACCGTGGTTCAAGTCCCAGACCTGGTGGCTTAAAACTCATGCTGGGCACTTGTACATGTGCGCACAGAATCCCAAGAAGAGAATGGAGGAGAAGGGATTAGTGCATGTCCATCTCTCCTGGGGGGTGATTTCTCACTTTCTGTCTCTCTGGCAAGTGCATGTGCCCTGTAACAAAAAATAGTGCAACAGTACTGGTTGAGCTCATAGGATCCAAAGTGGGTGTATGTAGTACTTCGAGGGCGTCCCACCAGGTCATCTCCCCCCATCCCCCGCCTCCAGCTACTTAGGCAACCAGGATCACACGTGCTGCCCACAGGCTGCCTGGTGTGTTTAGGGTGGCCCAGGATCTGAACCCCTGGCCTTCCCCTGAGTCACAGGGGACTATGTTAGGACTGTGCCACTGTGGCTGGACTCCCATTTAATTCTTTTATGCAATCAATACAGATTTCATGAGGCAATAATCAACCTCCTCCAACCTGGCAGTTTGCTTTGTTACCCAGTAATGGTAAGGCTGCCAGAGTGTGAAGGTTTAGACTTTGGGGGAAGCGTATTGTGACTGCCACGGTGCAGAGGTTGCTGATCTACATTTTATCCCTTTTGTGATTGCAATCCCCCTTTTTTTTTGGTTCTTTCCACATTAACATTTTGATAATTTATAGTTGATTTTCACTGTTTCAGCTTTGAAAATGATGCAGCATTACATTCTTTCAAAGTGGCTAGTCTAGTCTGAATATATTATTATAGTAACCCAAATCAGCTTATACGTATTCAAGCTAAATGATCATTTTCATGATCTCTTCTTTAAACTTGGGATTTTCAATAAAAACATATTGCCTCAGGGCCAGCTGGTGGCAGGTGATTGAGGAGGCTAGGTCTCACAGAGCTGACTATGCCGGTTTGAGTCCTGGACCGTGGCCTGAAAACACATTGGGCATGTGTACGTGTGTGTGTTGTGTTCAAAATCCCGAAAGGAGAAACAGAGAAGGAATTACAGTATGGGCATTCCCCATGATGGGGTATATTTTCTCACTTTCCCTTGCTCGCTCTCTCTGGAGAGTGTATGTGCTCTTTTGCAAATTAAAAAAAAAATCCATCTCGTCTGTTAATATTCTATTTATAAAATCTGAGTTGATTTTTAGAAAATAATGGGGAGATAGGCCAGCCCTATAGCCTAGTGGTTAAAGGAGTTGGATCCCACTTGGCTGACTGTGGTTTGAATCCCAGCTCCAGTGACTTGAAAACATGTCAGGCACAGGATGGAGAAATGTAGAAGGGGCCATGCCTTATTGGGGAGTGCTTTTCCCTCTCCCTCACCATTTTTCTGGTTTTCCTCTGGTAAGCTACTGTGCCTGCTATCAATTTAAAAGAAAATGAGAGAAATATTGAAAATGATGAAGAGTTATTCAAAAGTTATAGTAAGTCCTTATAAATGACTATTTGGCTAGACAGAATAGAAAACACTAGGAATCTGTATGTTAAAAATCAATGAAGGACAAGCAGATGATGTAATGGTTACGTTGCTGGACTTCCACATGGCTGACTGAGGTCTGAGTCACAGACCCGGAAGCTTGAATCTCACGCCAGGTATGTGTGCATGCATGCCCAAAGTCCCAAGAGAATGGAGAAGGAGTTGCAGTGTGACCATCCCCTGGGGGGTGATTTCTCACTTTCTGTATCCCTCGTCTGTCCAGCGAGCACACTCAGCCTATAACAAAAATCTCTCTTAAAAACAAAACAAAAAAAAACAGGGACCAGCAGTTAGCGTAATGGCTATGTTGCCAGACTCCCATGTAGTTGACCGTGGTTCGAGTCCCAGACCCAGTGGCCTAAAACTCATGCCGGGCACGTGCACGTGCCCAAGATCCCGAGAGGAGAATGGAGAAGAAGGGATTGCGGCTTAGCCATCCCCCCTGGGGGGCGATTTCTTGCTTTCTCTCTCTCTGTCTGTCTCTCACTTTGTCTGGCAAGCACACACGCCCTGTGGCAAAAACCTAAAAAAAAAAAAAAAAAAAAAAAAAAAAAAAAAAAAAAAAAAACCAACAAAAACCCAACAACAAACCAAACAGAATCCTGTACACAGAACAAATATCTAATTATTTGAATCTATGTACACATATTTTACAATTTCAGCATTTGTTTTTATTACATCAACATAGCCATTTACAGTTAGTTGCTCTAAAAACTTCAGTTACACACGATGTTCTCAAATCCAGACAGTGGTATAATCCTAGAAAATGTCCAGCTGAACAGTGGGATATTGAAGCACGTTGGTGACTCTCTATTCTGAACTTTTCAGTATGGTCAGATTAATGTATTTTGGTTCTCTGGCTAGTCATTATTTTTGCTTTGGTAACACCACCATTTAACATTCATTACCATTGACTAACATGATGACATAAAAAAATTGTCCTTCTGTGCCACATTTAATTGTCAGTGTGCTTGCAATGAGAACAAAACTTCATGAAAACATTTCTGTTCAGACTATTACATGAGAATGGCTCAATATAATTTTCATAGATCTTCTTTCTTTTTTAAGATCATTTGTCTAACCAGATCTGCTATGTCAGGCCTGATAACTTCAATGGGCTCCTCTGGCCTCCAGAACTTCACAACTTGACCCTCAGGGTTGACCAGATACTTCCAAAAATTCCACCTTGGTTCTGTTTTTGATGAATCTAAAAGACCCAGAACATATTTTTATGAGCATAATTTTACTCTTTGCCAAAGTTTCAAAGTATTTACATAAGTGCCAACTTTAGAATCAGGTTCTAGAATTGTCATATCATCAACAAAACAAAATAAAACAAAGCAAAACTCAAGATTTGAGTAACCAGATTTCAATATACACGATGACTTTTCTGATGACTCAAAATCTGGAATCACGAAATAAAGTTGTTTATTTTAAATTTGTTAATTTAAACAACAACAATTTACTTTATCATCAGCTCAAAACTTTTAGTTTCTTGACATTTGTAAAGATAAGTGATATCCTGGGACCAGCAGACAGTGTAATGGTGTCGTTAGACTCCAACATAGTTGACCACAGTTCGAGTCCTTGAGCTGGTGGCTTAAACCTCACTCCAGGCACATGTGTGTGCGTGCCCAAGATCCCAAGAGGAGAATGGAGAAGGGATTGCAGTGTTGCCACCCCCCAGGGGGTGATTTTTCACTTTCTGTCTCTCTGTGTCTCTGGTGAGCATATGCGCCCTATAGCAAAAAACATCTCTCTCAAAAAAAGATAAATATCTTTTTTAATTTAAACTTTTAAGTAAAAAACTTCCCATTTGACAGATGAGAACAATGGAGGCCTAGACTCAAGGTCATGTAGCTAGCGAGTGGTAGAGGCAGGACTGATATTCCGGCTTCCTATTATAGCTTGTGCTATTGATATCTAGGTTCTGTTACACTTCCCACCTAAGTTTAGTGAAACCCTAAATCACTGTTACCTTTTGATTATATAGGTAAGTGGGGTCTCAAGATTTTTTAGTGGTAAAGGGGAATAACTTACAAGCTATTGTGCCAATTATTGGGCTAATGTAACTGTGGAATGATTAGGGTCTGTGCTCTGGCTTTTCTTTCCTCAGTGTACCCCAGAAATGAAAGGAATGAAGACTTCATTATGCTTACTATTCATGGTGTTGGGCATAACATCGAATTTCTCTAGGAATTAAATACAACTTTCTATAAGATTCTGATTTCATTCTAATACATAGATCATTATTATCTGGTTTGTTGGATTGGAAGCTTGATTGCCTGACTGTGGTCCTAGTTTTATCACAATTCAAATGATCTACAATGATAAGACTGAGGATGTCATGAAAATAAATGAGTTAAGAGAAGATTTTGAAAGTTGAACATCTTTCAGAGTAGTGTGTGTCATGGAATAAGCTAAGTGTAAGTATGGTTTACTTTTACTGTTAACACAATCTTCCAAACGATTTTAAAAGGTAAGTACTATTGATAGTTTTGTTTTACAAATGAGGAAATAGGCACAGAGAAGTTAAGTCATGTGCCTGAAATCACACAGCAAGAGCAACAGAGCAGGGATTTGAACCCAAATGGTCTTAGGCCAAAGTCTACACTGTAATTATGTAATACTTCTTTTCTGCTAACTGACCTTGGAATGTCTTTAAATAGATTTCCGTAGCTAGCTTAATTGTAGAGACAGCCTAAAAGTGCTGTTTTCTAAAAAGTCCAAGTTATGAGACTAGCAGGTGGCATGGTGGTCGAGGCAGTGGACTCCCACATGGCCAACTGCAGTTCTAGTCCCAGTCCTGGAGGCTTGATTTCTCACTTTCCCTTTCTCTTTCTCTCCCTTTGTCCCTGTCTGGTGAGCACACATGTCCTATAGCAACATTAGAAAAATTAAATAAAATGAATAATTCTTAAAAAAAAATCCAAGTTATATTTAAAATTTTAGCAAAACCCTGGCAAACTGAAATATTTATCCTTGAGGATAGCATATCACATAAGAAAAGCACATAAAATTAATTAGATATGTCTAATTGATAATGCTCAGCAGTATTTTTAATAGATGTACAGTTTTAATAATGGGGAGGGACATCTCCCCAAAGCTAGTTAAATGACAGTAATATTTAGATATTTTGTGAAAACAGCTATGGCTACACTTTAAGTAAATACTTTAGGAAGGTGGTCATAAGGAATAAAACACACTGAAGTAGAATTCTCTTGCTATCTAAGAATGTAAACCATTGATTTCAGGGAAGCGTAACTCCTAGAAAATTACAAAAGATGATTCTGGCTCTTGGATAGTTTTATAGAACTTTCCCAATGAAATATTTAAAAATCAAATAGAAAAGTATTATCCTGGCATATTTGTTTAAAAGTAAAAAGCAATGTAAAACATTATACTGGTGAGGCAAGGTAGATATTTACCAACAAGAAATCTAAACGCAGGTTCTGCTTCAGATCCTAGAATCTTAATCTTGTGGAAGATGGGAAACGTTACTCCGTAGTTTTTTCTTGCAAAAGATTCTACTTCCTTGCTGGAACGGGGCTCCGATTCTCCAAACTGATTGCACGGGAAAGCCAAGACGCTGAAGTGGAATGGTCCAAACTCTTTGTGCAGCTCCTTCAGGGCTAAGTAATTTTTGTCTGTGAGTTGGCAGTCACTAGCCACGTTTACAACTAGTGCAACCTCCGGAAAAAGAAAAAAACCCAACCGGAAAGTGAAGAAAAAGATTTTTTAAAAAAATCCTGCAAGTAGTTATAATCCTAATCCATTTTGGGGGACTGTCACCTCTGGGAGAGGGTTATTATATGTTTTTAGGTATACCCAACTTTATTGAAAACCATAACCTAGATGCATGAATGAAGACCCTGAACTATTACTGCCATTAAAAAAGCATTAGGTACACACGGACATACATTTTTAAGTAAAAGATATTATGTTTATTGACAGCGCTTTTTAAGGTTGTTGTAGAATATTTTAATTAATGTCAAATTCACATGAACAACTATAAGCACAAAGTACTGCCAGCACAAAAATTAAAGCATTTTTAAAGAAGACAAGTAAAATAATCAGACTTATTAAATTTGAAGTTTATAAAGTATCAGAACTCCAATAACTCAAGTGATGTACATCCTAATAACATTACTCTGAAGACTAAGTTCTAACTTATAACCATGTAACAACAGAAAGTAGATTCTGTTAAAAGAATAAGTAGAAACATGAAAAAAAAATTAAAGAAAATCAGAAGATGGAACTTACTTTGCCTTTAAACTTTTCCAGAGAAACGATGTTTCCTTTTGCATCCTTCACCTCAAAGGCGTAAAAGCTGTTGATTTTCGGTTTTAGAAATTTTAGTTGTAGAAGAAATAACATCACTGTGCATAGAACCATAGACAACAAAACTGCAAAAACCTTTGCTTTGGGCCCGGAACATTTTAATGGATAAGTTGTAAGAGGCTCCATTTTGGATGATTCTAGAGGGAAGTCTCAGCAGGCTGGAATTCAAGGAGGAGCTGAAACTTGAAACCCGCTTTGCTGAGTGGGAAACCAGGAAGGACTGTCTCGCCCCTTTCACTGAAACAGAACAGAAAGACCCTTCCCCAGTGCAATTAGGGGCTCTGTGGATTGTCACTGCATTTGTGATATCATTGTATTTTTTTGCTAGAAACGGCAGGACTTTTTTGGTAGCTTAACACTCTCCCTACAAAGAAAGTATTTCACCGGGAGATGGTGCTCTTGTAACTTGGAAGTTGCGAGATGCTCCATACCCTGGTAGGCATCCAGTGCTTTTACTGGTCAATGAGTTGGATGCAGGAGATTGGGTGTAATAGCCAGGAATAGGGTGTAGATGAAATGAGATCTATTAATGTGATATCTGACCTGGAGGAGTTTGAAATTGGACTTATGGGTTAAACATGCCATGCAAGTTCAAAAATTTATAGTGGAAAGAGGAACTATCTGAAAAGGCTATTTCTTTGCTCATCTAGCTAAGGCAATCAAATGCCAGGTGAATACAGTAAAAATAAGCACATTAACAACAATGTGGGACTGGACAGTGGTGCAGTGGTAAAATGGGAGGCTGGCCCACATGGGAGGGTTTCCGGTTTGTGTTCAGAGACTAGCCTGAGTACACGGAGCCCATGTGGACCTGTGAGATGAAGCTGGCGGAAAATGGGGATGGGATTGAGGCATTGCGACCCTGTTGGACTAGCAAGCTCTCCTCGCTCTTGGAAGAAATAAACTAAAAAATAACAAAACTCCCCCCACTGAAAATAAAAGAAGGCATTGAAATCCCTCTCTTTTATAAAGCAAACCTTAAACCAGTGCTTTTCAAATTTTTGATCATAACTCCCAGGAAGATAAATGCATTTCACAGCATAACTGAGTATGCACACAAAATTGGCAAATGTCATGAAACAATATTTCTCCTTTGAGCTGAGATGTCCTCCATCTATTGCATTTTTAAAACAGCCTGGTCCTGTCTGACTCATGAAGATGATTTCATGATTCAATGATTGGCTGTAACTTATAGAAGGAAAAATACTAAACTCTATATCAAAGCAGTAATTTAACAGTTGAAAATGGTAATTTTACCAAAAAAAACCCCCAAACCCACAAATCCACCTCTACTTGGATACATCATCTAATTGCTTCTTTTTTAATCTATATTTCCCCCGTTGGCCGTTGCCTGCTACAGAAGGCCTAACTTTGCTGTCACTAAAGGTCATGGATTTTAGCAGTAGGTATGGAGAGGCAATTGAGAGCAGCATATCCTAAAACCCACGGTTTCTTTACTCACCTTAGACTTTGCCTCTTTTAAGACAAACAGCGGGTTCTAAACTATGGTGCTTTGTCCACTTGGACATGACCATTGGTGTTAAAATGTTCCAGAAGGTACATGGAATGAGCTGAAAAACCTGTGGGGGTGTTGTCCTACTACTGTCAGATGGGTGGAGCTTCAGGGGCTGCTCAGGAGGCTACCCTGCCTTTCTTCTGGTCCCTGCTTCCTAAAGGAGGGGAAGAGATTAGTGAGTTGAAGTTCAAGGCTAGGGGAAGCTACCTGGTCAAGAATGGGGTAAAGGAATAGACTCAGTTAACCAGTCAGCTCTGAGGCTGTAGAGGATACGAGTTGAGTGCAAGTGAAGGAGCCAGCCTCACACAAATTGAAAATCAGCTTTGGAGAGAAGATAACACATATGAAACAAGAATTCTAAGGAAGCAAGTACGCAAATGCTAAATAAATGGCTCACTTACAATTTTTTACTATCCTTTTGTGATCGAGCTTGTGTGTGTGTACACATGAGAAAACAGAGGTGGGAGAGCGAGAGGGAGAGAGGCACCCTCCACATGGCTGAGTCATGCCGTGATCCCCTTCCTCCAGTCCTTCAGCCTACCAGGATCCGGGGCACGTATGTACCCAACGTTTTTACAGGGAGACCAGGCTGGAGACGTGAATGGTGGCCAGCATATGCCTGGAGCTCCACAGTCTGGAACATGATTGGCTGTGCCACGGAGGCAGGGCCAGCTTGGTGTTTTTAGAGAGCTTTGCACTACAAACAATCTCCTTAGTATATACATTATTTCCTTCACAAGAACACTTTGCCATAGGATGGTGCTGACCAACATCACAGAGTTAGCGAATGGAACACCAAGAATAAAGTTTAGGACTTCATAAACTTCACAGGCAAAATTATCCCAAGTACATGAATTATTTCTTTGTAAGAGGTACAACGTGTTGACTTAGAAGAAAACACAGTAGGCAAGATTGCTGTGGTGCTCTAGTGAGGGGTTTTATACACCAGGACATTGAGTTTCGTAAGAAATCACAGGAAGGATCCCGAGAGAAGGGGGAGTGGAGAGTAACCGCAGAAAAGCATGTCCCCATGTGTTGGAGTTACTCAGAAGGGATCACCGGAAGCCTGCAGAGCAGCAAGCCAAGTGAGAGATGAGAGCCTTTGTCACATGGCAGGACAGGGATGGATGCTAAAGCTGCTCTGGAGCCCCAGGGGCAGGAGAAGGCAATGGAGAGTACAGGAAAATGCCCACCTGAAAATGGTTCCCCCAGTCTCTGCTTGTGTCCCCCCTAGAATGCAAAGGCATCAGAGGTTAGAGTAGATGAATATTTTGGTCTTCACCACTAATTTCAAATAGTATCAAGAACATAAACACAGAGTGCTGCTGCATTGGCCTGGTGGTGGAGTAGTTGGCAAGGACAGATACTTAGAGTCCAAGGAAGGGCGTTTGCAGAAATAAGCCTGAGAGCTAATGGACTATCTCTGTTACTTTTGTCTTTTAAAATAAATAAAAATATATGGAGGCTGGTAGATGGCATGGTGGTTAAGGGTGCTGGACTCTCACATGACTGACAGCGGTTCAAGTCCCAGACTTTGAGTTTCGTAAGAAATCACAGGAAGGATCCCGAGAGAAGGGGGAGTGGAGAGTAACCGCAGAAAAGCATGTCCCCATGTGTTGGAGTTACTCAGAAGGGATCACCGGAAGCCTGCAGAGCAGCAAGCCAAGTGAGAGATGAGAGCCTTTGTCACATGGCAGGACAGGGATGGATGCTAAAGCTGCTCTGGAGCCCCAGGGGCAGGAGAAGGCAATGGAGAGTACAGGAAAATGCCCACCTGAAAATGGTTCCCCCAGTCTCTGCTTGTGTCCCCCCTAGAATGCAAAGGCATCAGAGGTTAGAGTAGATGAATATTTTGGTCTTCACCACTAATTTCAAATAGTATCAAGAACATAAACACAGAGTGCTGCTGCATTGGCCTGGTGGTGGAGTAGTTGGCAAGGACAGATACTTAGAGTCCAAGGAAGGGCGTTTGCAGAAATAAGCCTGAGAGCTAATGGACTATCTCTGTTACTTTTGTCTTTTAAAATAAATAAAAATATATGGAGGCTGGTAGATGGCATGGTGGTTAAGGGTGCTGGACTCTCACATGACTGACAGCGGTTCAAGTCCCAGACTTGGAGGCTTGCTTTCTCACTTTCCCTCTCTGGAAATATTAAATAATAATTATATGCACACATATGTTGTTTTTTATTTTAGATTTATTTATTCATTTTGCACAGGTCTCCCTGTGTCACCATCCTCCTGCTTCACCCTCCCAGGTAGCAGGGACTACTTGTATGCACCACTGCATGCGGCTTTTAGGATGGATCGGGAATCGAACCTGGGCGTCTCACATGGCCTTAGCCTGCCAAGCAGCAATGTCCAGTGTGCACTCCTGTGGCTGGGCCTGTTACTTTTGTCTTTGTCACGAAGCTATAGCAAAACTTAGGCACCACCAGCAACTCTTCTGGCCTGTCTAGGTTTTTCCCACCCAACAAATATTTGGATGTCAGGTTATTTATCACTAGATATATTTGTTTCTCTTTTCTTAGTTGTCTCATTTTGTTACTTCCTGACCTTATTTTTAACCTCTCTAGATTTCTTTCTATTTATTTTTTTGGCTCATGCATTTTGAATTCCTCCCGATTTAGTGTCAAAACAAAGGTAAAGAAGTCAACCGATGTGCTTGGAGTATGTGGTCATTCATCCTTTTTCCCTTCTTTGTCTTCTTTTTCTTATCTTCCTCTTCCTTTCTATTAATAAATACTTGAGTCACTTAAAACTATGCAGCAGGCATTTCCTCAGCAGGAGATAGAGCCTAGAACAGAAGTCTAAAAACATGAAGATGAAATAGCACAACCCACAGCAGTGTTCTTAAACTGTAGTCATTTGCATGCCATCTTTGTGATTTTTGGCATATCTACATACTGTGTATTATTTACTCAGAATTTTAAAGTTAAATATACTCACTTATTTTACTCGAAAAATTTAAAAGAGTTTTGTTATAGGGCTGTGTGTGCTTGGTGGAGAGAGACAGAGACAGAGAGAGAGAGGGAAAATGAGAACTCACCCTCTAGGGGATATGGTCACACCACAATGCTTTCTCCTCCTGGGATTTTGGGCTCGTATACACATGTGCCTGGCATGATTTTCAAGTTGCCAGATCTGGGACTTGAACCACACAGAGTTAGCCATATGGAGTTCAGTGCTTTAACCACCATGCCAACTGCTGACCCTCGAGTTATTTTTTTTATAATGGGAAAAATGATCAACTCTGAAAAATTTTTAATATTTAAAAATGTACATTAAAATACATAGCTATTAAAGATATTCATCTGGGCCACTATGAACCATATATCCCTAGTGGAAGGACTGACAAAATTATATTTTATATTCAAAATATTATGTGAAATGGTATTTTCTTTGAAAGTTCTTTTTTTTTTTAAAACAATTATTTATTTAATTTTATTTATTCATTCATTTATTTTAATTTGACCAGAGAGAGATACACACACAGAAAGAGGGGGAAAGTGAGAAAGCAAGCCACCAGGTCCGGTACTTGAACCGCGGTTGGCCATGTGGGAGTGTCCAGCACCTTAACCACCACGCCACCTGCTGGTCCCCTTTGAAAGTTCTTTGTACTGGGGGGTGGGGGGGGGGAAGAAATAGCCTCTTTCCATTTACTTATCCTAGTTTTGTCATAGGGTAGGGAGCAATATTTTTATAATCATTTTCCTTTAAATATTTGCAGACACTTCCTTTGGAAGTTCTTTTTCCTTTCTGTCTTTTTTTTTTTTTTTTTTTTTTTAAAGAGACTTTTTGCCTTAGAGTGCCTGTGCTCACTTGAGAAAGAAAGAAAGAGA